ACTTTTTTAAAAAAATTCCATTTTAATGGAAAATTCTGATATATCAATGATGGCTTGTTTCACTTATTTTGTGAGCTACTGTGTACAAACAGGGTGAGGCTTTTACAATAAACCTAAGATTTACAGGCTATTCCCTTGTCCTACTATGGAATCTAGGGTTATCACCTTATTCTACAAGCTCCTGATGCCTAGACAAATTCAAAAATTAATTTCCACAAGCCTATTATCTTTTCTGTAACTATACACAATTGCCCAATATATACTTGACTTTCTCATATTGACCCTTATAATCCTGTTACTGTATTATTTGAACATTTCAACCTTTTTATTTTCTGAAAGAGATGAAAATCTCCTTTGCCACAATTTTAAGTATGATTGAGTAGGGTTCACCTTCCCATTTTCAAGTGGCTTAATAATATGAAATCTTCAAAACAACATATATTTTCAGAGACAGCACATGATTTATTGCGCTGATTACCATTTATCCTGCCTATCCATGGGTGAACAAGGAAGATGAACTTTTCAGAGCAGAATAAGACTTTTTCATAGATAAATGTTTCAACTTTACTACAGTTACACATTTTCCCCACAGAGAAGAAAATGTCATATATTTTCATATTCTCTCCTCATCCTTCCTCACATGATCTTTTCTCCCATAATATAACAATTCTCTTAATCAGAGATCCCTTATCTGCCAATCTAAACCATCAGAAAACCTAATTTTAAAATGGTCTCTAAGCTCCAAACTGAAGGTCATTAGGTCTGTATACTCTATAGTTTTTAAAGACCAGGTCCTTTGAGCACTTATCCAGAGACATCAACTGAGTACAGACCCTTTATAAGGGTAGAAGGTGTTCCTGAGGTAAATGGGTCTGGTGGGAAGCCCTGAGGTAGCAGAGAAAGGAACAAGTTCCAGGATATTTACTTTGCAAGGCACTAAGAGTTTAATATGTCCTCTAATTTAATCCCGACCACAAAAACTAAGATGGGGCTATAAGAATCTTCAAATTGGAAGTAAAAAAGAGTATAAATTAAAAACCAAGTTGATCAGATGTTTGTTTCTCTACAGCACACTGAACAATATTGGAAAAAAAGCTACAATGACCTCAGAAAATAACCTCCTTTAGATTGCTTATCTGTGAAATAATGCAATGATATGTGCTCTCTGTTATTCCCCATTTCATGATCCATTATAATTCTGGATACTGATAATGATGATTCTAAGTCACTAAGGAGAAATAATTACCAATAATCCCCCTAAGAAGGCAAAATGTATATAACGCATGCTATATACAATATTTGGAAATTCCTTTGGCTACTTAAAAAAATTAGCTTCATTTAGCTGGAAAATGAATTTCTGTGAATTAATTCATTCCTTTAAATAATGGCAGTAGAATGAGCTATGACTTTTTTCCACTTTGGAGAAGGGAAAGGTAGGAGAAAAACTTATTATGAGGTTTCATTATTTTCATGTAGTAGGCATTCCCAAAACAAAAACATACTCATAAGGAATATGAAATTTATTTTTAAATCTGTAATCATTTTGCACTATTAGAAACTTTGTTCTTCTCCATATATTCACTTTTATTAAATCTTAATCTGTTCATGATACTCTGATGTATAAAGATGAAAATAGCTAGAATGTTAAATGCATGCATCAAATGTTAAGAAGTCATAGGAATAACCAGGAAATCATGTTTCGAATGAAATGAACGCTTATAAATAAACTGTTTCATATCCTACTTTGTGAAAGGAGATTGAAAACACATGCAGATCACACACTGATTTCACTAAAATATTGTATCCACCCAACAATTAAAATAGGAGGACTGACTCTTCAAAGCTCATTAGCCAAACACATTCATTTACATTCCAAGATTGTTTCTTACCATACGGTTCTACAAGCTCCAGCAGAGTTTTATGCAATGTGCTTACATAGTTGCATAATTTTTATGCTGACAAGACAGTGGATCAAAACTCAGAGAATAATAGAGTACATACATGACTGGCAGATGCTGGGATCTTGTACAGCTAGGCTTTCTTCTTCAAAATGAGGATTAGTTGTCATAGGCAGAGATACATTAAAGTGTGTTTTCTATGAACTTTAAATTGGAACAAAGAGAAATGCTATAAGACAAATAGTAACTGGTCATGATGACAGTTATCTACTGTGGTACAGGGTTTGCATTTTATTGTTTGGTGGGGTTTTGGAGTGATGATTATCTGAAATTTAAATATTTGATTTTAAGTACTCAATTTGTAAGTTTTTCATGTTCACTGTAAAAAATATAGCATATAGTTGTTATTTTAAAACGATGTTTGAGAAAATGAATCATTCCAAGCCAGTAGCAGAAAACATTTAATAGCTTTAATTTTTTGGCATATATGCATAGAAAACAGGCTCATCTGTTACAATAATGATCTTGCAAGAAGTTTGTGACAACCTACCATGTTTTAATGAATGGATCCAACATCCCTCTCAAATGCAAAAGACTTTTCAGATTTACAAGGGTTATTACTATCATTATTATTTGGGGTATTAGAGATTGAACCTGGAGTGCTCTCTACTGAGCTACACTTCTACCCTCTTCCCTTTTTTTTCATTTTGGGACAGGGTCTAAGTTGCCCAGACTGATCTGGAACTTGTAGTCCTTCCTTCTGCCTCATCTTCTTGAGTAGCTCGTACTACAGGCCTGTCACTGTGCCTGGCTATTATTTTTTAGATCAAAGTCCTAGAATGTAAGCGATGGCAGAATACTTAGAAGTTTATCAAGACTCATAAGGATATTATTAATTCCATTTAATAGAACCAGACTTCTAATTCTAATCACAAAGATCTCTTCCAATTTGTAGATTCCTCTATTAAAGTATAAAATATAATAGCTATAAATGCAAGTCTGCAGCATAATTAAGAGTACAGGTTTTGGAGTGAGAAAGAAGAAAGATCAAACCCTGGCTCATTCCTTTACTACTCATGTGATCTTGGGCAATGGGTTTAAACTTACTCAGAGCCTCACAATTCTCCTCAGTAGAATCAGGTTAATCCTTTTAGGTATTCTTTCTCATGACTAAATGATATTTAAAAGCACCTCATGCCTTGCAACCAGAAAAATTCATAATAAATTTAAAAGGAAATGTTCTTTCTTTTTGCCTAAATTATAATGAGGTGATTATTTAAAACATTACATTAGACTCTTACAGCAGGAACCTTATCTTATTCATACTTAAATCCCCAGGAGCTAGCATAAGGCCTAACACAAAATACAAAATGTTGAATCATGTAAATTATGACATTGATAAGAATATTCATTTCATATTCATTGCTAAACATTATGGCCTATACTTTTGAAAGAGTGATTTTTTTTTTTTTTCCTCTCTCATTTAATCTTTACCATCAGCACCCAGTCCCAGTTCCTCACCTGAATCACTGCAGTAGACTACTGCATTGTCTGCTCTGGCTTTTCTCCAGTTTTTTTTCTTTCTTTTCGAAGTGTAAATGAATCTTGTCACACTTCAAGGACTCCCATGGCTCTTATGACAAACACAGAGTCCCTAGTCTCATCTATAGTGTTCTCTGTGGTCTGCCTTCTACCCACCAATCAATATTATATCAAACCACCATCCCTGCTTCATTCTCCTTTTTCCATCCACACTGGTTTTCTTTTATTGCTTCATATGCTAGAAGCTCTTTTTCTTTGTTCTGAGGCCTCCCTTCAGCACAGGTGCTGTCTATCTCCCACTCACCCCTTCATGCCTCAACTTGGTTTCATTCCCAGGAAAGCCTTCCATGAACTAAGTCCTTTTAGAAGCATGTCTCTCTCCTACAGAGAACTTATCAACATATATTTCTTTATGCTGTTCTTCAATGAACATTTATGTATCTTCCCAACTAAAATACATGATACACAGGGGAAGTGTTTGTTTGCACTCTCCAGCGTGCCTTCAGTATTCAAAATTTTGTTGAATGAATGATTTTTATAAACATTAATATTCTTAAGAACCATTAAATTTCATCTCTACAGCACCCTGAAATGATTTTGAGAAACGTGATAATTAAAAAAAAAAGTACAGAGTACTTACTGATATAGCAAGTCAGAATAAATAGAAGGGGAACTGGAAGAAGATGCAAAAATTTTTCAAAGTTTGAAAAAGTATTTCCTCAGATTTAGAACCTCATTTTTTTTCAAGTCAGAAGCATATGCTAATTTCATAGCTGGCAACTTTTTTCTTTCTAGGACCAAAGGCTATGGGGAAGCTTTGCAGGAGAAATTGAAGTACAGCACAATATGCATGTATCCATGAAATACAATCATCCACACATCTGAAGGGCTTTAAAAGTATGATGGCTTAATCAGAATGTTTTCAGTACAGTTCTAAGTTCTTACCAAATGAATACTCCACCATCTGCAATGAATACCTGAGTGGCAAGAAGTTGTGCTACAATTTACTTTAAAAAGAAAAAAAAAAATCATTTAAGGGATCCAGAACTGGGTTTGACTGCTCCTTCATTAGATGGCAATATTGAGTAACAAGTTAATGCTAAATTTCCTATGTGTAATTTTATAATTATTTGTTATTTGTCACATTATGAACCAACTGCAGAATATTAGTCAGGTAAGAAGCTCGGATTTTATGTTAAAAGCTTATTATCTTAAAAATGTGAAGAAAAAGCATAGAGGTTGCTGAATAGTATTAATAGTGGAAAAGGCAGCTGTAGACCTAAATAAACCATTTTTTTTTCCTGGGTTGTTAAAAAGTTACGCAAGGTGACTTTGAATAAAACACCTTCAAATCGATTCTATCCGCTCAGGCATAACAGTCTGGGCGCTCTAGCTAGGACCAACTTCTCCTTCCCATAAAGATAAACGTTGGAAAACGCGGGTCTCCAGGGAACTTGGACCAGGAGAAAAAGATACGGCACTACTGATGCTGGAAACCTGGGAGGGATTTTATTCCATTTCTCTCTGCATGCTCCATGGTCAGTAATTGGAGTAGCTCACCTGTGAAGAGATCTGGACCCTTGAGGCTGCCTGTAACAATGCGGGGCTCTCCAGGTTCGGCACAGCACTTCCCCGCACATCTACCACCGCCTGGCCTGGGAGCACTCGCGCCCGAATTTTCTCTCCGTTCAGAGTACATCCTGGTCCTTCCACCATTCTCTGTAGTCTGCACTTTGGCCCCTGGTTGTAAGGCCTGAAGAGAAAACAGCTGCGCAACTTTATTTCCGCGCGGAACCTGACTGCTTGGAAAGAAAGTTCAAATCTCCCGCGCGCATCCAGCCCCGGCCCGGCCCCGCCCAGGCCCCGGCCCAAGCCCCTCCCAGGCCCCGGCCCCGCCAGGCCCCGCGGAGGGCACCTCCTCGCGGTTGGGCGCGAGACGGTCCCTTGTGGCGCATGCGCCGTGGCTCACGCCTCAGGCTCGCCCTGTGCATTTTTGAGGAAATGCCAGTGAGGTGAGTGTGTACTGTGGAACTAGGCTGAATGAACCGAAAGAACAGCGGAAATCAGGACTTGAGAACCTCCACACTTATCTTTTTTTTCTTTAAGGTTTTGCCCCTGTGTTTGAACTGTCCCGTTGACACACATTTTCTGACCTGACCCTATAATCTGCCCTTAAATCCAAAGCTGTCACTGTCTGGCAGGCCTGTGTTGTTGTATACCTGTCCTAACGTAAGTGGGATAAGAAGAACTGAGGGGAATTCATAGGGCAGACAGTTTTGATTTGTTTTTTTTTTTTCTCCTATAGGTTTATTATGTTTTAGGGAAAAAAAAGCTTTATATGTCAAATATATATTTGTATCTGGTTTTAAAACCTTCATATAGTGAAGTGAGCCTTACCCAAGTCCATGCATCCATTTTGTTCCTGGATGTCCTGAGGTGAATGCTGTTTAAAATTGTTTTGTAAAGGGTAAGACTCTGTAAATTTGAAAGCAATGCATAGCTTTTCAGATTTACTCACAGCAAAGACTAATACACACATAAATATATGACACTACTTTCCATAGCTCCCAGGGTGCTCTTTTTGCACATAATATATTCAACAAATATTAACTGAAATTGAAAAGGTTGGACATTTTAGTCCTTAAATACCTTTTCTGTTAGTTACATATATGAGTATGTAATAATACATATATATGTACATATATAATTCTTTTGAATTAAAATTAAATGCTTTGAGATAACCCTTCTAAAATAAATGCTGTCAAAATTGGGTAATTTGTTAAATTTCTTTTTTAGTAACCTGTGTTTTCCTGAGGAAATTGGACCAACTATATATATGTGAATGGGTATCATTTGTGTAAATTTATATATATATTTATCATCTTGTAGTTAGAAGACATTTTTTATTAATATTTTATAGATGAAGAAACCGAGTTTTTTATGATTACATGTAGGGACTAACACAAATATCAAAAGAACCCAAGTTTTCTAACTCCTTATCAGTATTCTTTTCACTAATAACATAGTTAAGTGTTGATGAAACAGAAATGTCCAAAACATTAGATAAAACAGCTTTCTTCATGTCCTCAAGTAGCCAATATACAGTATGTAGGTACATAACTAAGGAAAATTATTGATGAGTGGAAGAAATTGCCAAAAGGATGTGATAGGAACTAAAACTAAGTGTGAATTTTACTTCCAAAGCTTCTCATTACTAATAAACATAATGTTTATTCTCTCTGAGGCACAAATTCAGGCTCTGGGGTACACAGTGACACAAAGGAATCTTTGTACACATAGATATTACAATGTAGTTAGAGATACTGGTATTTTAAAATATAACAGACAAATCTCATGCTTGGTACAAAAAAAGACATAGGTCGTAGGGAAATTCAGTGAAAAAATAGTAGTTTAGAATATGTTCAGAAAGAAATGGGAATTGAGTGGCTACCTTAAGATTTAGGGGTGCTAGACCAATAGAAAGGAAAATTAAGGGAAATTTTTGTAAGGCAAATATGAGAAAATATGTGATTTGAGAGACAATGATTAATGATACAGTGTCAAGCTGGGAAACAATGGTAGACAATATTGAAAATATTCCTAGGAACTATATTGCAAAAAATAAAGGGTAAGGAAAAGTAGAATTCATTTTCTTGGGACAGTAGGCAGCTGAATGAAGTTTTTGAACAAGTATAGGGATCTGAGTCATGGATTCACAAAACTTATTTACGAATATCAAAACCAAATTTGGTAAATGACTTTTATTAAAGTTGCTAAACTGAAATTCAGAGGTCCATTCTGGCTGTGGAGAAGAACTCAAGGGTAGTTTGTATCCCTATTTGTTTATTATTCATTAAGGGTAGTTACTGATGGTAGTCGGGTACAGTTTCCTGCAGGATGCCAAGTTGATATTGCTTCAAAAAGTCCTTCTTACAAAATGTAGTAATTATCCCAGATACTAGTGCTTCTCTGTGCCAGGCATTGCTCAAGGTGCTTTACAAATACTGACTCTTCATCCTCATAGCAATCCTCTGAGGTTGAAACTATTGTTATTCTCATTTTTTCAGTGAAGGAACTGAGGCACAGAGAGGATTGGTAACTTGCTCAAGGTTATTGATACAGGAGCCAACTAAGGAAGCCACAGCCTTTGTCAAATATTTTCACCAAGATCAATCATGTTACACTGACTCTCATCCAAGTATTTTAAACAGCTTAAGAAATTATGGATTAGAGGAAAAGAAAACCTTTTAGCCTTGTATGGGGATTAAAAGTCTTCCTTCAACCCAGTATAGTATGACATACTTTGGATTATAAAACTTTGTTGGTACCCTTTCCTTATAAGGTCTGTGGGCAGATATTTAGTTGGAATGATAAAAGTATAGTATAGGAGGAATTTCTTTAATTTCTGCGTGTTACATAAATTACCTGAATATTTTTAACAAGTACAGAGATCCAGTCTCTGACAAAGCCCTCTTAATTTGAGCTTTGGATCAAGGAAAGTGTCTTCAGTGAGCATTACATGCAGGTGTTTTCAGTAGTACTTACTAAAACGTCTCCAGTTTCTAAACATTAAGAGAAACTTTTTAACATTAGACTACCAGAAGAATAATAAAATGCACAGCAACAGAAACCATTTTAACACTTTTATTGTTTGAAACATATAGCTAATGTTGGAACTTTGCAAATCAGTTGGTTTTGTTACAGTGTGAAGGCTGGGAATACCCAGGTGACAGTTTTCTACCTGCAAAGTCAAAATTGAAATTGCAAAATTAACCATGCTCTTCTGATAAGGAAACTGCTTTGACATACTTAGCCTTTCCGTAGTGTTGTAAAACCAATGATTGTTGTGTGTGTTTTAATTTTAGCTTTGTTTTGCCAAATTCTCATGAAAGGAATTGTTTTTTTCTAATTTAAGTTTAAACATATTAAATAAGTAAATAGTTTCTGAGTATCAACCTTAATTTTGAATCAAATAACTGAAAAATTATTAAATACAAAACAGCTGATATAATCTCTTTGCGAGATTCTGTTCAGGAGAAAGAATGGAAGAATTAATTTCTTTTCTGTTTGAAATAGAAAGCAAGGGAGTTATTTTCTGTCATGATCTTAGAGCAACAGTCTTCATCAGCCTCAGACACTGGAGAATGTATTCAAGTTGAGGACTGAATTCCATCATTAACTCGGTCATTCAAAGGACATTTGTGGATAATAGTATATTCTAGGAAGAACACTAGACACCCTAGATGAAGAAAATGGTCAAAGTTCTATACAACTCACAGACTAATGCAAGGAAAAGAGGGAAAAAAACACCAACTAAATCTAATAGAGGTAACTTTTCAAGTGCTCTAAGTATACATTCCCAGACATTAAAGCTAGATTTTGAGTATCTAGGTAGAAGGCAGAAAAATGTTTATAAAACAAGGAGGGTGTGAGAGCCTCTTCTTTGGGGGAACTACAAGTATATCTGGAGGACAGTAGAACAGGGACAGATGTCGGATAGAAGAATAAGCAAGACAGGGAAATAACCAAGAGACATAAATACAGCCAGATGATGAGAAATCTGATATACCAAGAGGTGTGGTCATAATTTTTAAAATAATGAGAAATGAATAAAGAATTCTATGCAATAAACCAATTCTTCCTGAGAGAGATTGGTTTTTGAAAAGATCACCAGAATAGAATGAATATTCTCAGCTTGGGGAAATTTTGCCTCTCATGTGACATTTGATTCCAACTAGGGGAAGGAAATCTGCTACTTAATCTAAAGGGCCAAGGGAAGGGATGCTGTTAAGTATCATACAGTGCACTGGACAAACCACCATAGCCAAGAATTATCAGGCCAAAAACATCAATTGACCTACATTGAGAAACCCTAATGTTGTATGCTAAGCAGTGGCCTCCCAAAATGTGTTTGTGTTCTAATCCCTGGAATCCTTGAACATATTTCCTTACATTATAAAAGGGAATGTGCAGGTATAATTAAATTAAGGATTTTTAAATGAGGGGGTTATCTTGCATTATGTAGTTGGGCCCAAAAGATAAGAGTCTTTTAAAGAAGGAGGCAGGATGGTCAATGGCAGAAAAGGTAATGTAAGGACAGATCAGAGTAAGTAGAGATGTGAGATGCTATAATGATACCTTTGAAAATGGTGGAAGGAGCCCTGATCTAAGAAATGTCAGAGACCTCTAGAAGCTGGAAAGGGCAAGGTGACAGAGTCTTCAATATAGCTGACAGAAGGAATCAGCCCAGCTGCCACCTTAACTTCTGTTTAGTGACCCTGATTTTGGACTTTTGACCCCCAGAACAGTTACAGAATAAATGCATTTTCTTTAGGGTACTGGATTTGTGGTAATTTTTTACAGCAGCAATAGGAAACTAATTTATCTGGTTTGGAGGATGAATAGACAGGAAGCAAATATTGACAGGGATAAACATGAAAGAGGTTGACCAGAGAGAATTTAACAGTGTTGCCAGGCACTTATCTCAACACTGGAAACACAATATGACCAAGACAGAAAAAAAAAAATTATCACTCTCAAAATTTATAATCTAGCAATTTGTTTATGAGTTTTTGTTATATTCTAGAAAATAGTTATTTTTGTAATGCTAATTTTCTTTCCAAATCCATCATCATATATTAACAACCTTTTTCTGTCCTGAATAAAAATTTTTAATATGGTTTATTTAAACATATTAGTATTTTATATTTTGATTTATAATTTCTTCCAAAATCCATGGTCTTCTCAATATCATAAAATATCTTCTGACTTTTTTCTGTGAACTTATTGTTTTATTGTGCTAGTCTGAGTTTTGTTTTCACTTATCTACTTGCTTTGTT